GTGTGACCTGCAAGGGTACTTGATTGCTTTTAAGCTCATGTAGGCCGGTACTTACCTCTGGCCGTGAAATTGAGGGTTGCAGCAGGGAAAACACTCCAGTAGCAGGAAATGATCAGTGACACAGCAGCGGGGAAAAACACTCCAGTAGCAGGTAGGCCGGTACTTACTTCGGCTGTGACATTGACGGTTGAGGCAGGGAAAACACTCAAGTAGCGGGAGGAAGCCGTGACACAGCAACGGCGAAAAACACTCCAGTAGCAGGTACGCCTGGTGTGTGATGCGTAACCTCACACCCCACGCGATGTCCTGTGCCAACAGGCGCCGATCAGAGTAATTGGGGGTGTGGCCGAGGATTTTTGGCCAGGGGTTGAATCACCAGGATGGAACGGGGGAGTACTGGCTTCGTTTTGAGGCTATCTCAATGTCTAAGCCAACGTAGAGGACACAACGGAGATACTAGGGAAATAGAGGTGTTCATCAGGACCGATGCGGGGTATAGTTCAAAATATGTGCTCGGCCGTGGGGGCTGAGAGCGGCGCGTGACTAGGTGGACAACTGACAACCTGAGAGAAAAAGGAAAATGAGAAAGGAAGAGAGGAATTTACCGCTTCTCTCACGCTAGGTTTGCACTAATTGTATGACAGGAACCGAGAGATATGGAGCATCTAGGCTTCCGAGTCGGATTCATCAAGTCTGTGAGATAGGCTAGGTACGTCTTTGGATTGGGACAAGACCGGGGGGACCCAGGTTCGGAACCTCCCCGGGAGGGAGCCTGCACTGCGAGAGAGTTCTACGAACCTGTCAGCACCTTTGTACCCCAAAACCAGCCTCTGCGAGGGTCACGAGTCTCCCTGCCGACACCAACGACAATTAAACTGGAGCCGCCACATGGTGTAGGTTGCCGACCAAGGCAACACCGTCACATTGGTGTAGGGCAACATCAGGGCATGAATTTGTCATTTTCTTTCGATATCTATCAGTTAAATTTTTTATTTTCAAATAAATCTTTCCACACAAGAAAATTAATTTGTTAATTGTGAATTTTTGAATTGATTGAAAAGATAACTTTAAAAATAAAAGTTTTTTGAGATGCAAAACATTTGGAATTTCCCTTATTTTTAAAGCCAATAATTTTATATATACAGTAATATTCTTAAAATCAAGAAATCAGAATGAATATATTGAATAGAATCACTCTCATATTATTACAATCATATTCTTCTTGGGAGGAAAACCGATCAACCAGAACAAACCCACTCCCCCCTACATGACAGGCCTTAGATGGGTTGTAGAAGTGAACCTCGGTTCACAACAGGGCGCTCCGCACGTCCGCATCGCAGTACACACCGTCTCGGTCTGCTATCGTGAAGGGCGGAAGGACACTGTGGCGGATCAACGAGAGGGAAAGGCGGCGGGGTGCCAGCACGTGGTGCCCCCAACAAGGGTTGTAGATGAGCAGGACAGAAGAAGGAAGGAGATTTCAGAAGGATCGAAAGAGGCGGGATGATCAATAGTTCTGTTTATCTGGGGTGGTCGCCCAAGGTGTGTGCCCAATTTGTTCTCGAGGCATTGATCCGACCATCCCAACTAGACAATCATTCATTCGCGCTGATAGGTAAGGAGAAGATCGAGCTCAGAGTTTGGGGAAGACGAAGAGGTATGCACAGAGGAGCGCCCAAGCACATAAGTTTCTCCTTTGCCGTGCGGTCATATCCAAACACTTTACTGAATTTGGAATAAAAGAAACACAAGTTTCATAGTTTTTCTTAACCAAAAAAAAAACAAAAAAACTTTTGCCTCAGGAAAATTAGTTTTTGATTTTTAAAATTCAGGGATGAAGTAAAAAAAAACAAAAACAAATTGTGCAATGTAGATCTCAAAAAGATCTACAACATCAGATTTGTTTTTCCTATTTTTGAGATTATTTTTTAACCCTCAAAAAAATCCAGAAAGTCGTGGCCGAACCCAACCGCGTTTGGAGCGGAGGCAACCTTGATCATGGCCGGCATTAGCCACTCGCTGAGTTTGACCTTACAGTCACGACCATGGGTGATACATAGGCGCCCACTACCCATCTCTCTGCCTTGGCTATGGTGGAGGAGCTTGGTAGGTGGAAAAATAGAAGGAGACTTTTTTGGAGCTCCATTGCAGCTAGACAGCGCAGTCAGGGCATCTCCATAGTCGTGCGACCGAGGAGCTTTCAGGGCGTATTTGACTTACCCCTTCACCCACTCAAAGAACCTATAAAGTAAGTAAATAAGGCATTTTTTTTCTTTTTCAATATAAAGTTGAGGTGTTTTGCTACATGCAATACAATTCCATATAGCACAGTGTTGACCCACATTAGAATCAAGATCAGACAAAGTTGATTAGATGCGATGAACTGCAACTTAATCAAGACTATTAATTTGATCCTGATTAGAGATTGCAATGAAAGCAGCAAAATATAAAATTCACTTCAAAACAAATCAATAAAGTTTTTAGTTCAAAAAAATAAAGTCACTATTTTTTTTTATGGAAGTAATATTACCTATAAAACAAATCGTGCACAATACGATGAGAGACATGCACTATTGAAAAACAGGGTTTGGATATATTTAAAGTGTAGGGGAAAAAAACAATTGTAAGGAGGGATGAACGCCCGGGCAGAGCATGTGCTCTTATGCAGAAGTTATGCTTGTATAAGAACGGTATATAAATTATTGTTGAGGAAAGCCTGTGAAAGATCACAAGTACTAGGGAACAAAAACAACCACATAAAAGATAACGATGGTGGAGACAATGATAACAATGATGATGACAACAATGATCAACACAATTGTGACGATGTTATGGTGACAATGACGATGAAGACAAGAACAACAACGCAATAATGTCGATAGCAACAATAACAATCATAAGAATAACAAGAATGATAAAGATTCAGGTGATGCAACAATAATGACAATGAAGAGGAGAGTAACAATGAAAAACAACTACAAAAGAAAAAGAACAATAACGACTAACAAAGCATTTAACATCCTCAAACTATAAAGTTCCTAAAGAAGGCTAATAAATAACAGACGATATAAGAAAATTCCTTGCAAGACAAGATGAAAACAACCTCTTGACTAGTGTCTCACTCTTCTAGATTTTGCGTTATAAAATGTGTATTTTAAGAAGATCAATCAAGCTAAAAGGGACGTCGCCTCAGG